TAATTAGGCTATAATAACACATCTACGGATTGGACAAGAAGGAGAATCATGTGTTTATCACATGTATAGCCCCACACCGATTGGTTCAACCGTTCCTTACATAAGGCCATGATTTGTTTACCTGGCAAGTGTCCCATCGTGACCCTTACCTCCTCATGGAACTTTCCATTAGGTTGGTGTAGGGATGATACATCCCCACACACGCAGTCTAAACTCTCAACTCTATTAGACTGGGCAATGTCTAGATTAAGCAGTTTTTCTCCCCGACCTGGATATTGCAGTCCTTAATATACAGGTTTGTTCCTTAAACCTGGGCCAGTCTCCTCTGTTGGAGTCTTCAGTCTTCTTCTGAGTGTCTTGGTTGATTGAAGCATAGGTGGGGGCAGGAAAAAGGCCCAGCATGGGGCCCCCGTGTTCTGTTTTATACCCTCAGTCCCATGTGCTTGGGGAACATGAGTCAAGGAATGTCTGGGGCATTGCTGAGTCTCCAGGCAAGGCTGAGCAATCCCCCCGTGTGGCCTCTTGCAGGTGAGTCATTGCATTGTAGCTTCCTTGTTGGACAATGGCTGTTGATGGGTTGTTTGACACCTGCCTGGGCCTTGGTTACTTTCCTTGCTGTTGCATGTGGGGAGCTAATATCTGGCTGATTCCCCAATTTACAGCATGTTTTAGTGACCACCATACAACACAATTCTCATAACTCCATATGCATTAATGATACACATATACGGATAGAGAAATGACTTTCAGCAGATCATAACCTTTCCCCTGATGCCTCACACCGCCTGCTTTATATGCAATATCACAATTATATAAAAATGAGGAATATGGGGGTTACAGGGCGCTCGCCCAAGGTATAGAATGTCACAGACCCCCTCATGCTAGTGCTGTACATCATTTATTAGCACCGATGGCTTGTCCCTGCCTGGTTCACTCGACTCTATGTTCCTGGCTGCCAGTGCACAATGGGGGCTCACCCAGCCCAGCTCCCCAGGCCTCCGGCCACCCGTCTCCGCACCCGGCCCAGGCTGGATTCCTCCTGTTTGCCCACACGCTGTGACTGGCGTTGGATGCGCTCACCCCTGCCTGGCGAATGGCTGGCTCACTCCTCTGCTAGGTCAGGATTGGCCGTCAGGGCGGAGGGGCATCGTCCCCACCCTGCGTCTCCTTGTCCCAAGCCCAGGGCCCGAGGCAGAAGGCGATGTGGCCACCTGGGCTGCAGCACCCCCACCCGCCCCCACAGCATCGCCTGATGTCCTCCCATGGCAGCAGCACCTGCCCTTACTATAGAAGAATATCTCAAACAGCAGGGCTCTTGTC